CTGAGCTCTGCTGTACAGGGCAATGCAAGATGCTGACACCAAGCAAAATACAGGTAATACTTGCATTAAAAAATAAATTTATTGATGTTCTATTTAATACAGGGCTGCATTAATTTCAGACTTTTAACTGTGCCTGGAATAGAGTAGACGTAAACCATAACTTTAGCTTGCTACTAACATTTTTATTTTTATTTTAGTAAAATATTTGCCTCCTCTTTCATCCTTTTTATCTTGCTCCTGCTGTTCTCCTATAGTTTCTTTAAGCTACTTCCCGTCTACACACACACCCACGTTTTGGGCTGCACATCATTGCTGTAGACTGGCTTCCTGATGGTAACATTGGTGGACCATCCTTGAGCAATGTGTGTCAGCATGGATGCCTATAGTCTACATCTGGGGCACGTGTGAAAGGGTGACAATGCAAAAGCACAATCGGAAGTCAGAGACAAAGTGTTGTCACCCTATATCAGGAAGTGCCTAAACCTTCATGGCAGGAAACAGGTATTATTTTAATTAAAGCTGCACATTTTTTTAAGATTGAAACTAACTATGGAAATTATATTAACATGTTAAAGCTTACATGACATTTTAGTGAATGGGTTTGGGTCTATGTTAGCCTAGTACCATTTGATTTTAATCATACAAGAAGAGAGATGGATAAAGTACAGGTAGTTCAATAAATGTCAAAGAGCTTTTAACTGTTCAGCTGTATATAGTAACACATTGCCCTCCAGCCTGTAGGCTGTGGGGATGTCAGGCCCCTTCATTTCTGAATGGCTCCATGTGCTGCTACCATGTGCTGTTGGGCAGCATGGTGTCAGGATCCAGAGCACCCCCAGGTGGTGCTGGAGCCAGGTCCTGCAGTTCCTGTGCTCGCCTGCGGGTGTCTCCAGCAGCCAGGGACTGTAAGGAACCTGCAGCTCCAGTACTCACCTGCGGGTGTGCCCCAGCTGTGACTGATCATCCCATCACCTGGTGCTTCCTGGGAGGGTATTTAGGCCCTACCTGCAGTCAGGAAGCTGGCTCAGTATTGCGTCGCCTGCACCTGACTGATTCCCATAAACCTGAACCCTGCTTCCTATCTGCAGACCTGTCACCGACCCGGCTTGTTACCCGACCACTCTCTTGGATCATCTCCCCTTCGTTTACCCTGTTGCAAGTTATGTCGCTGGTGTGGTTCCTAGAGGATGATCCCGCCGGGTTTTCTGCACACTACTCTGAATGCCCACCTGAGGACTTGCTTAAATATATTGAGGCGGTTGAGATCCTTATTGACCGGGGGGTCGTTGTAGTGACCTTTGTTGAACCCTTGCTCCAGAGGTGGTCTGACATACGGTCTAGGCAGTCTAGCCCCTTTACCAAAGCCCGATCGGGGTTAATCATGTTGCCCATGACAACCGCAGAGACTCTTGCTATTCCTGATGAACAAATCCGCTCCCAGTTTTCCGTAGCAACAGTACCTGTCTGCCATTCAGTTACACCTGTTCCCAAGGCAGCCCAGCAAGACCCCTCATGTCTCTTAGCCGAGTATCGGTCAGAAGCTGAAAAGCTCGAAGCATGGGCCGATTGTTCGGATGATGAGGATTGGAGCGACTGCTCTGAGGATGAGACTGTGAATGACCGTTTTAGATACTCAGGGTCCGTTCCAGTCCTACCGGTTCCCGTTCCAGTCCTGCTGGTTCCTGCTCCTGTTGGAGACGATCCTGTTGCTGTTCGGGACAGTCCTGTTGCTGTTCGGGACGTTGCCGTTGGAAACAATCCCATTCCTGTTGGAGACGATCCCGTTCCAGCCGATCCGGTTCCAGGTGGTCCAGACGATCCTGTTCGGGACGATCCTGTTCCAGTCGATGCCGATCCAGCTCCTGTTCCAGTCGATGTTCCGTCCGATCCAGCTCCTGTTCCTGTCGATTATGTTCCGTCCGATCCAGCTCCTGTTCCTGTCGATGCTGTTCCGTCCGATCCAGTTCCTGTTGATGCTGTTCCGTCCGATCCAGCTCCAGTTCCTGACGATGCTGTTCCGTCCGATCCAGCTCCTGTTCCTGTCGATGCTGTTCCGTCCGATCCAGCTCCTGTCCCAATGACATAGTGATTAGTGCTTCTGCCTTGCAGCACTTGGGGCCCTTGGTTTGAATCTCAGGTCACTATCTACAAGGAGTTTGCATGTTCTCCCTGTGCTTGTGTGGGTTTCCTCCCACATTCCAAAGACATGCTGGTAGGTTAATTGGCTTGTGTCTACTTAGCTCATGATGTGTGATAGGGACCTTTTGATTGTATGCTCCTTGAGGGCAGGGACTGATGTGAATGTGTAAATTGCCCACACTATATAAATTCCTATATTTATTTCCAATTACCTGCACATTTGCTTGAAGAGGCTGGAGTATCCAGCACAGACACCTTTTCTGGTACGAAATACATCATCAGGATCACAGTCGTTGGGATACATTCTTATACCCTATTGTGTCATACTCTGTATTAAAATTCCAAAAAAAGCAAATCAGTTTATCAGCCTACAATTACATTCTTTTTTTACATGTGAACTAGTTATTTACACAATAACATGTAACATTCTACTCATATACAGCATTTATATGTACAGTATATACAACTCACACATACAATTTTGGGAGCTGATTTAATAGAGAAGTAATTGTTCATCTAGCCGGTGTTGATTTCAAGTATCATGTTAGGGAAAAGTTTTGTTTTTTAACTTCTGAACTTGTCTGAGTATCTCAAGGCTAAGCTGAAATGTACTGCAGGCCATCAGCTCTCAGGAAAGTTAAAATACATGGAGTGTTTGCAGAAAGACTATACATAGCAAGCATACAGTCACCTGTACAAAAGCATCTGTGTAAGAAACATTCATGCCCAGAATGTCAAAAGTGATGTGGGCCCCTATGCGCATGTCCGGAAGACCCATTCTCAGTGTCAAAGTGTAAACATGCACAATACGTGCATGCGCATCAGAGGTCTCATTGGAAAGCGCACACAAGTTGCACGGGAAGTGAAATCTTGAAGCCCTATTTAAACAAACCTGTGGCATACCTCCATTGCTGATTGTTCCTCAGCTATTCCTGTGTTATTGTTCCTGTGATCCTGTGAATTCCTGTTTGTTGACCTGGCTTGCCTTGACCATTCTTCTGCCTGCTGATTGTACCTGCTTGACCACTGGCTTTGACCTCTGCTCGTTCCTGCCTCCTGATCAGTACTACTGTTCCTGATTGGCTTGACCCCGGCTCAGCTCCTGTCTACTGCTTTAGTACCTTTTCTGCATCTGGTTTGCTACCATGCAGGCAGCAGTGCTACCTTGTGTCTTCTCTCCCTGTCCCCATATCCAGGGAAGTTGGACACGGACGCAAGGGGCGCCATCTCCTCCATCCGGTCTCACTTCAGGTATGTGACAATCTGCTTAGCTGCTGTGTTCCTTACTATTAAATTGGATGTCAGTTAAGCAGCTAATATAGAACTAAAGCCAAAGCTTTTTTAGCTCTAGTCCTCTTTTGGGTCACAGGAGTATATTTGCTAATGACCTCCTTTTACCCAAAGTCAGCATCTAGCCAGCTACCACTTCCTATATGATGAAAGAGCAGAGCCACACTACAGCTGGGAAAGATCCCGACAATATTGTTAGGATCCACCCCCCCTGCCTAATTAACAGCTGTCTCTGCCTCTTTAGGGTCCCAGTCAGCTATGCCTGCCCCCTCCCCTGTCTGTCCCTCCAATGAGTACTGGAGGAACAGAGAGGGGTGGGTGAAATCCCTGTGGGGGTGGTCACTGAAGTCACTGATCTCTGCAGGAAGAAGACTGGGAGCTGAGCAAGTTGTATGATTGATCAAACTCTTGGTATAGAGCTGGCAGAAGCTGCAGTGTCCCACGCCGGCTCTAAGAATTGGGAAGAGTACATTTTACTCTTCCAACAATTCTTCTTTAAATGCCCAGATGAACTATGAACATGTCAACACTTTTATATCTAAGGAAATATCTGTATTTCTCTTCAGCCAACTTTGTGATCTACACTACCCTACCACACTACAAAACCAGGATGGTGATACAGTTGCAACTTTGCAATGTCTTGAGTCAGCTGCCTCTTTATTGGGCTAGGAAGGAGCAACCTCTAAAGCTGGCAGTACACCTGGTTCACCGAAATTCATTCTGTGGGTGGCTCTGATGACGACCTCCCACCCAACATCCTTCAATGAGAAAACTGAAGAAGCCAGGTGAAAAATTCTCGGCCGAACAGTGACTGCAGCCAGTCACTCTAGTACTTTCCAAGTATTCTGCCACAATCAGAGTACAACAGCTTCAGTAAGAGATTTGCGGTTCAGTGTGGATGGAGAGACTTGTTTTTTGTTCAGCCTGCTGGCTGAATGATAAACATCTGACAGTGTATGGCCAACTTTACGGTGAGCTGCATAAACTCCTCACCCCTCCGGCTCCCCAGTGTAACATTGTACAATGATATATTGTCTGACTGTCTCACAGTGCCAAATTTCCCACTGAAAGGGAACATACATAAAATAGATTAGAGAGCACAGAAATGAGGAGATACTCTCACTAAGCTTAAAGGCTGCAGAGAAGGTTCCTGATGGGGCTCAAGCCCTGTTGAACTTCCCCCAAACTGCATAGTCTTGCTTTGGGTGAATTTACTAACTCAGAACCAAATTCTAAAAATACATTTTAATGATTTGCATTTGTTTTGCCCTGGTAGACTCTCACTACTTAACTGGTTTGCTCAGCCAAAAGAAGGCTTTGGAAATGAAACCCGGGGTGATCTGCTATCCACCTGTACAATGAGGGTCTCCATCATTACAATAGCAGGAAATAAATACTCATTACTTGTGCTTCTCAGCTCCATCTGGTGGCCATAGTACAATATTTCTAGAATGACTGGCCGGACGGGGGAGGGGCGGGTACAGCTGGCTCTGCCTCTAGATAGGCAGAGCCACCTATCTCTCACGCAGCTGGGCTGATCGAGACATAATTGCCGGGATCCGTTTCAGCTGCGGCGTCTCAGTATACCGCGAGATGCAGCTCGCGGTATACTGAGCTTTGGGTGACGGGAGGACGCTGGTTTGTGTCCTCCTGTTACCCTTCGGAGAACTATGTGGAAAAGCACTAACCCCTCCTTTAAGTATAACTATAAATCGTTAACTGCTTATATCTCAGCCTTCAGTCAGCAATAAGTCAGGTAGTATTTTTACTGCTTCTACACTACAAGACCAGCAGATATTTCAGGTACCTATGTGATGACATATCCACATCCAGATGGCTCGTGCTCTTTCCAAGTCTGAGAAAGCGTTCTGTAGGAGTTGTTGGGTGAGTTGTTCAAGAGATCCCCTGGGTTCCAGCTAATGTGAAAAAAAGTTTCAGTAAGCGCTACTTATACTTAAAGTGACATTAACCCTTTCGCTGCCAAGCCCTCCGGAAGATTTTTCAAATCAGCTAGCAAAAAAACTGGAGAGTTTAAATATCCTTTAAGAAACACTTGTCACATTATTGCTAGGACTTGTTCAACAATATCTGTTCACAATCTAATTATTATACATATGCACTAAACATGGTGGATCTTGAGTAAGTGAATGGAATGGGTATATTACCTTGGAGGCAAAGGAATCCAGTTCTTCAAATTTCTTCACATCTATTTCCATAGATTTTAGGCTTGATCGGTCCCAAGGATATTCTATGTTTCAAGAGAAGAATATTAGTGCAACTAGCAAAACAAAAACATTTTTAAAGTCACCATTACAATGGTTGATGAGTATAACATAAATATATTATATACTCCAAAGACATGCTGGTAGGTTAATTGGCTACTGTCCAAATCAGCCCTATTATTTGTCTGTGTCTGTATGAATGTGAGATAGGGCCCTTAGACTGTAAGCTCCTCCAAAGGCAGGGACTGATATGAATGTGCACCATGTAAAGCACTGTGTAAATTGTCGGCGATATATAAATACCAATAATAAATAAATATTAATTTGTCAACTGAAAAATCGCTCGCCAATTTTCTACTTCTGTCCCCATGATCGAATCAATCAGTCCCCATCTCATGATGCTCTGGTATTTAAAGCCCAAGAGTAAGGGTAAGGGTGAGCTTAATGTAAAGTTGTCATAAATTAAATATGGGAGCTGCCATTGCTGATCTCCTGAAAATGTCAGATGCCTGGCTTGTATGATGACTATTTTGCTTTACTTCTGTCTCAGTCACAAGTCAGAAATATTCTTTTCTGCATACTTGTATGGGTCAGTTAATTATAAAAATTGAAGCAAAAGAGTCAGCAGGGCAGAAAGGCAACTTCCATTTTTTAGAATGATAGGTAAGTGATGGCAGCCGCCATGTTTCTCTCAAGACCAGTTTCCTTTAAAGGTTAAGTGTTAAGCTCGCCATACATCAGTCATAATTTACTCATTCTTCCCCGTGTGTTAAACAAAAAAGAACGCTAAATGTTTAGTGTTGATGGAGGAATCCCCCCGCCCCCTTCCACCATGCTATTGTATTATAACAGCATCTATACTGGCGGCAGTCACTGTTTCACCAATAATCGTTGGACCGCTCCTTCACCAAAAGTTGATTTAAAAAGCTACTTTTGTCAAATAGAAGGGTGCCAACAGGGCCTCACATTGCTCAAACTTTGGCTGAGTCAGAAGGACTTTTTAGATTCAGTGATGTCATCACTGGGTCTCTGTGTGTCTCTATCCTATGCAAGTAGACTATGGCTGTTGAGAGGAACCAACAGAGTGCTCTACATAACTTTTTGAAACCATCCCAGCACCCTGCCTCAGTACCTTTCGCAAGCACCCTCATACCGTATACCAGCAGTGGCCAGCCTTCCTCGGGAGGAGTTATGCAAATATTAATTATGGGTTAAGGTCAGTCTGGTGAAGTCAGGATTCCTAGGCAAGCTGTATTTGCACTCAGACTGCTCTAGGTAATGCTCACGTGTGATACTGAAGCTCCTTGATTGCAAGAAATGAAATGAAATCAAATGAATGATGAATGAAAGGGGCGGGCCCGGGACAGTCAGACTGTATAGGAAAGTGCTAGATTATGTGGGATGTCCTTCAGCCAGGAAATAAGGTGGGCGCTATTAGATTTCCTGCAGCTTCTAATGGACAATCTCAGAGGCTCACAGTGTACAGTAAAATTGGAGTAAGCAATCTCAGTATAGAAGAGGAGCCTGTACAACTGTGTAAGACTGAAGGTAAGGCCGGAGTTCAGATTTCAGTGTTAGGCATGGGTCATGGAGGTGCCTGGGCTTTTTTCTACTGTTTTCTTGAACTGGAAGCCATGTGCCATAACATAGCAGCTCACTATGTGCTTGAATCAGTTCATCCTTCTGCTGTAAACAATAATAAAATCAAAATAAAGCAATCATCTCACTGAATATGACAGCTTCAGGTCCTGTTTCCTTCTTGCTTTGCTGACCCTCGGAGTTCTCATCTATT